TGTATCCACCTCCTAATTCTCTCGCCGCTCTTTACCATATGGGTGGATAGATATTCATGCCTTGGGGCTCCTTATCAAGAAGCTCACACATCTTAGTAAGCACATGATCTGCTGAAGACTAAGAATTTACTCATCATAAGCATGATGCAAAATCGAGTTCCTCTAACTCAGCTCTTCCAGAGCCACATTCAATATCTTACCAACTGTCTTTGTAGATGTAGGTATCATTATATTATGACTAAAGTCGAATTTAGGAGTTTGAATTCTTACAACTGAGCTCTACCACATGATCTAGAATAAGAAAAAAGAGTGACAGTCCTAAATGCCCTGTAGCCTCCTGCTTATAAGTGTGGTGCACAACACATCCATAAATAAGACTCTACTAGACACGGCTTGTAGACTCCCTAGAAAAGAACTGATAGCATCCATGGTAGCTCAACAACATTAAAGGAGAAGGATGAAGCTCTGGAAGCTCCAAGAAGGCCCATGACAAGGTCTCAAACAAAGAAATTTCAAGACAAGCTTAATGGGCTTCAATTGACAATTAAGAAGTGTCTTATAATAGAAGAAGAGCTCCAGCACAAGGAGGATCTTTGGGACAAGTCTTACAATTATTTGGAGGCCCAAATTAAAGTCCAAGAGGTGATGGAATGAGGCCTAAATATGCCTCAAAAGAGAGGAATTTTCAGCAGCCCAAATAAGCCCAAAAATAGTTTCTAGAATATATATTTAATATTTGTTTTAGTCCATGTTGACTTGCATTGGTCTATGTGTATGTTGACTACATTGGTCTTAGTGTGGGTAGTTTCTATGATTCTAGGGAATATAATTCTCATTTATTAAAGTATTGACTAGCTCCTTCTTTACTACTATATAAAGGGGTGCTTGTCTTCCATTATAGAAGAATATTGAAGATTAATATTATTATTGTGAGTTCTTTTGAACCTTTGTGAACATTACTTTGAGATTTATCTTGCAACCCTAACTAGTTCATAGCTTAAGGTAGTAAGGTAATTTTCTTTCTTGTGATATCTTTGGTTTCTTTTGATATTCTTTGAAGGTGACTAGTTTCTTTTACTAGTTGTTGTCGTAAGTTATTCAAACTAGAAAGTCAAGATCCGAATCTAGTTCTTGATTAGCTTATCTCTAGTGAAGGCAATTGGTTTCATAACCAACTTGTTGTCATTAGGATCTTGTCAAAATCTAGATTAACATAATCTCGGGGTTCTTGGACCTTTCCTTGAATTTCAACATATCTAGTTTATTTTTCTTGCTTTTCTTAATCCGCTTGCATTTCTTTACTGTTTCCGCATTTCATCAACTTATTTTCTTTAAGTTCTTGGATCTCCCAACCTTTGTGTTATCAAGAACTGCTTTGGTACCACTTTTTGTTACGACCCAAATTGGAGGACCACGACAGGCACCCAGTGCCTTACTCAACCGAGTACCAACGTAAAATATCTTTCTTATCATACCATCATGTGTAAATGGGCTTGAAGGAACGTCATGATATAACCAGAATAAAATATAAGGGTATTGACATAAGACGACCCAACATGTAATACAAACTTATACATGTGACATACGGTCCTATAAGACCAAAATGAACACTCGTACACTGAACATAGGCCAACAAGGCCATACAATCTTTCATATACATGACATCCGTCTACAAGCCTCTAAGAGTACATACACATCATAAATGTCAGGATAGGGCCCTGCCATATCAATCAATATATATCCAAAGCATACTGACCAAATAGGTAACTCCAGAGCAAGTGGAGTGCACCAACACCTTCCACTGAGCTAATAGCCTACTAGGAGGACTGTCAACTTATCAATCGGGACCTGCAGGCATGAAATGTAGCGTCCCTAGGCAAAAGGGACGTCAGTATGAATAAAGTACCAAGTATGTAAGGTAGTAAAGCATAAACATGATCAGTAATGTAAAGAGATATAGAGGAGATACAATCGGTAACATCTGAGTGCCTCTGGGGGCTACTGACATGAAATGCATAATACATATATATACATAAACTTTTAAAAACATACACCTCTATGGGTATCATCATCATCATATCGTAACCGGCCTCAAAGAGGACTCGGTAAAAACATACCTGCCATCATAAGGCTCGGTAGAATCGTACCCGGCCACGTGGAGCTCGGTAAACCCAACTGATCTGTGATTGCACAATAGGTTCCGTACCCGGCCGATTATAGCGCGACTCGGTAGAGTAAAATAGATACTATATATAATGCATGCTAGACTCATGGAATCACGTTCTAAATTTTTCGAAATGACTTAAGGTCGTTGCACCTTCAATTAACATTATGGACATCCATACCTTCAATATGAACCTCAGTAGGATTCAAGGATCATAGACACTTGCTTAGAATAATTTTATAAGGAAAGAACAACATGGACAACCTTAGCTGTTAGGAGTAGATCCGTTATCAAATAACGTATTCATTTCACTTTAGATCATGCCAAAATAAAGAAGGAAGTGCCTTAACATACCTTTGAAATATTCTATCCAATCGTCAAGCAAGCTCAATATGATCTTCTTACATCTACAATGAGTAAACCGACTTCGTCGTTATCATATAAGCATTGTAACTCTCATATCTGGAAACCAATATTCTACAAGAAAATGGACAACACCTCCCTTGTTTGTACTACATCCTATATATTACCAAAAGTCACCAAACAGCCCAAACAACAACAATATAATTCACAATAAGCTCTCCGATTAGTTCAACAACCATTTTGAGCGGCGAACTCGATTTACGATTAGCAAAATATGGTTTGAATCCAACTCCTTTTACATGAATCTGCCTACAACATGTATAACATATACTGTACTATCTCTCTTATACCTCTGATATTAAGGGTGATTCTACTATGTTCTCAATCATGATTCCTATGACTTCTGGGTCCAATACTTATGCTTACCATATCATTTTCAACCCAAGACATCATAAGCATAATCTTCAAATATAGTCCACACACCTAGCTCCTTAACCTTTATCGTCAACATCTTATTTTTCATGTTATCTTCTTCAATACACTGAATTAGCACATAGGTAAGCTTAACAACAGCAGCCACAACATAATAAAACTATTTATAACAATTTTCAGCCACAATAAACCATATATATAGTCTCAATACAGCCCACAAACAAAGATAACGATTCCTTATGCCATGTCAATTACTATCTTGTAGATTTTCACTCAAACAACTCAACCAACACATGATTGACCTTAAGCACAACCAAGAACATGATTGAATTACCTTAGGAAGTAGATAAAACTTGAAATCCCCAGTTGGTGTAGTCACAACAATCCTCAATCGCACCACAACACTATAGGAGTTGTATTCTCTTCTTGAATCAACGTTTGTGTTCATGTTGGTGTGTAAACACTTGTATTTCACCTTGAAACTATAATATACATAAAGGAGGTACTGATTATTGCTTAATCATAAAAAACAAAACGAAATCTGAGGTTACTTACCTTTGAAGAACCCTCCAAAATAGCCACAAGATGAAGAACTACGATCTAGAAAGCACCACGGGTTTTCTAGCGATGGATTCATGTTTTTATCTTAGGTTTTCACCATAGAATCATGGAGGAACCCTTGGAGATAATTTAGAAGGGTTTAGGAACTGTTGTGGATGATAAAAATGAGTTAAAATGACATATAAATGACTTAAATACAAGCTGAAGTTTAAACCGACTTTGTGGGTCCCATTTGAGCTACTTGCGCAGTCTCGCGAAAACGCGAATATCTCTCTACTCCGATGTCATATAGATGAATGGTTTAATGAGTTAGAAACTAGACTCGTAGATATTCAATTAATAGGTAGATAACCCTATAATCCCCAGTATATTTGGAGAAAAGCTCAGCTACATTTTACCTAATTTTCAGTAAATTTATGAATGTAACTTGTGATGACCTTTGCCAACTTTTGTTCCACAACCCGCTTGACTTCAAAACATAACACACGACTATCATACGACTAAAATAGCTCATAACATAACATCCTTATCATGTTAAGCACTCTAGTCTCACCCCAAAAACACATGTTATAACATTCAAAGCTTGTCAACTTTTGACAAAACTTATTTTCTTCAATTCGTTTAGCTTCTAAGTTTTCCAACCCTCTTGGTACTCGTTATTCACGATCTTAAATATTTTTAACCTCCAAGGTAACATGATTAACTTACTTTATTTGCTTCCAAATATAATCTCATTTCCGAGCTTACATCAATGGCTTATGACTTACTCTCACGTATGAAAACGTGGGGTGTAACATGTTTTAAGCTTAAAGTTTCATCTATCCCTTTTAATTCCTTGTTTGCATAGGGGTAGTTTCTTAGACGTGGTATATTCATTGTTTTACTGCCTGCTCGCGTGACTGTTCTCGTAGTAGCGCCTTTGAGTTTTTTTTAGCTCTCGGGTTCCTAGCTTGTAGTCCTTCATTCCCACTACTTGTTCTTAGTGGTAGTATTTACCTAATATCTTTTTCTTATAGTGGTGGTAGTGTACAATGTGAGAGTAAGTTCATGTCCTCGGGTGGGGCTGGGGGTGGTGTCCAGGGGTGGGAANGAAGGGGGTAAGAAAGTCTCTAGGCTGAGAGTTGGGTCTTGAAACATTGGGACGTTGACAGGGAAGTCTATAGAGTTAGTTAAGATTCTTCAGAAGAGGAAAATCAACATAACGCATGTTTATGAGACTAGGTGGAAGGGTACTAGGGCACGAGATGTAGACATGTTTAAACTATGGTACTCAGGAAGTGATGGGGGTAAGAATGGGGTAGGTATTTTAGTAGACAGGGACCTCAGGGAGCTCGTGGTCGAGGTTATGAGGGTAAATAATAGGTTGATGAGTATTAAACTTGTAGTTGGTGGGTTTACTATAAAGGTGATTAGTGCATACGCTCCTCAAGTAGGTTTAGACCACGAGGTCAAGAAGCGATTCTAGGAAGATTTGGACGAGATGGTGCGTAATATCCCGCACACAGAGAAGCCGTTCATTGGAGGAGGTTTCAATGGCCATATTGGGGATAGTGCTAGGGGTTATGATGATGTGCATGGCGGGTTCGATTTTGGGGATAGGAATGAGGGAGGTAATTTACTGTTGGATTTTGCTAGAGCTTTTGATTTGGTTATAGCTAACTCGAGTTTTCCGAAGAGGGAAGAGCATCTGGTCACTTTCCGGAATACAATGGGCAAGACTCAAATTGATTATCTTCTCTGCAGGAAATATGATAAAGGTCTATGCACTGATTGCAAGTCATCCCAAGTGAGCACCTCAAGGCCCTACATAGGCTCCTAGTTATGGACCTGGAGATCAAGAGGAGTAGGACGAAGAGGGCAGGGTGCAGGCAACCTAAGATCAAGTGGAGTAACTTGACCAAGGACGAAGCTCAGGAGTTAGGGGAGAAGTTGTTGTCTATGAGGGTCTGGATGAGTAGGGGGACGCATCTAGTATGTGGTTCACGACTGCGAATTGCATTAGGGTAGCTTCTAGAGAGGTCTTAGGAGTCACGAAGGGCTCTCCCGGGGGTCATAGAGGGGATTGGTGGTGGAATGGAGAGGGCCAAGGTAAAGTGGAAGCTAAAAAAAGTTGCTTATTTGAAGCTAGTAGAGAGTACAAACGAGGAGGAAAAAAGGACTTATCGGGAGTGTTACAGAAAGGAAAAGAAAGAGGAAAGGTAGCAATTACGACGGCTAAAAATGTGGCGTTTGCTCGTTTGTACGAGGAGCTCGGGGGCAAAGGCGGGGACAAGAAGTTGTACCGGTTGGCCAATGTGAGGGAGACGAAGGCCCGTGACTTAGACCAAGTCAAGTGCATCAAGGATGAGGATGGCAAAGTATTGATGGATGAGGCACTTATTAGAAGAAGATGGCAGACATACTTCCATAAACTGTTGAACGAGGAGAGGGATAGACGCATTGTGCTGGGTGAGTTAGAGCACTCTGAGAGTCAACAAGATTTTGGGTACTGTAGGCGGATTAAAGTAGAGGAGGTGGAAAGGGCGATGCGTAAGATGTGCAGGGGCAGAGCAACGGGGTCAAACAAAATCCCGGTGAAATTCTGGAAGAGCGCGGGGCGATTAAGTTTGGAGTGGCTACTGGGCTGTTTAATGTTATTTTTAAGACGAAGAAGATGCCCGAAGAATGGAGGTGGAGTATGATGGTTCCGCTTTACAAGAATAAGGGTGATATCCAAAATTGTAACAATTATAGGGGTATCAAGCTGTTGAGTCACACTATGAAGGTTTGGGAGAGGGTGGTAGAGGCCAAGTAAGGAGGTGTGTGTCTATTTTCGAGAATCAGTTTGGATTCATGTCGGAGCATTCAACTATGAAAGCAATTCATCTAGTTAGGAGATTAGTAGAGAAGTATAGGAAGAGGAAGAAGGACTTGCATATGGTGTTTATTGACCTTGAGAAAGCGTATGATAAAGTCCCGAGGGAGGTCCTGTGGAGGTGCTTGGAGGCTAGTGGAATTCCGGTAGCGTACATTAGGATGATTAAGGATATGTATGATGATGCTAAGACTCGGGTGAGGATTGTGGGTGGTGACTCGGAGCATTTCCCTGTGGTGATGGGGTTGCACCAGGGATCGGCTCTTAGCCCGTTTTTATTTGCCTTAGCGATGGATGTACTGTCGCGATACATCCAAGGGGAGGTGACCTGTTGCATGCTATTTGCCGATAATATAGTGTTGATTGACGAGATGCGAAGCAAAGTTAATGCGAGGTTGGAGGTTTGGAGACAGACCTTGGAGTCTAAAGGTTTCAAATTGAGTAGAACCAAAATAGAATACTTGGAGTGCAAATTCTGTGACGAGACACATGAAGCAGACGTAGAGGCAAAGCTTGATGCTCAAGTTATCCCCAAGATAGCGAGTTTTAAGTATCTTGGGTCTATTATCCAAGGTAATCGGGAGATTGGCGAAGATGTTGCATATCGCATCGGAGCGGGATAGATGAAGTAGGGCTCGCTTCCGGTGTTTTATGTGATAAGAATGTGCCACCAAGACTTAAGGGCAAGTTTTATAGAGTGGTGGTTCAACCGGCTATGGTGTATGGGACTGAGTGTTGGCCAGTTAAGAATTCCCACGTGCAGAAGATGAAAGTAGTAGAGATAAGGATGTTGAGATGGGTGTGTGGGTATACCAGGAGAGATAAGATTAAGAATGAAGTTATCCGAGATAGAGTGAGAGTAGACTCCGTGGAGGACAAGATGTGGGAGTCGAGGCTGAGATGGTTCGGACATGTTAAGAGAAGAAGCATTGATGCCCCTGTTAGGAGGTATGAGAAGTTGGCCATGGCGAGTTTGAGAAGAGGTCGAGGTAGGCCTAAGAAGTACTGGGGAGAGGTGATTAGACAGGACATGGCGCTGCTTCAGCTTACTGAGGACATTACACTTGATAGGAGGGTGTGGAGGTCAAGGATTAAAGTAGAAGGTTAGTGGGTAGTTTTTAGTTGCTCATCGATAGTCTTAGACTCTTAGTAGCACACATGTCCCTTCATATTCTTAGATTTTAATTACGTTATGTGGTTTTGTTCGCCTCAGGTATTGTATCTCTTGTTGCTTGTATTTGGTACTACTTATCCTTTATCTCTCCCTTTTTCTTTTCTCTTCCCTCTTTCTTCCTTTTTTGCTATCCACTTCTTCTTATTACCCTTTCTGAGCCGATGGTCTATTAGAAACAATATCTCTACCTGTTAGGTAGGGGTAAGGTCTGCGTATAGACTACCCTCCCCAGATCCCACCTGGTAGGAACATACTGGGTTTGTTGTTGTTGTTGTTGTTATTGTTGTTGTTTAGTTCGTGGTGTTATGGGTAAAGTTTAGCTTCAAAAATTTTCAGAATTCTGGGCACGTGGGACCAATGATGATTTTATCAACTTTTTAAGCAGAGTTGGAAATGATTGTAAATAGGATTATAATAGATATTTCAATATATGTTAATTGGTTTGCATAATTATTGACTAGTTTTGTAGCGTTGGACATCGGTTTGAGTTTTCGGAAGGTCTTGGGAGCCGGTTATGGAGCTTCGGAGCGAGATAAGTCTCCTTTCTAACCTTGTAAGAGGGAATTATCCCCATAGGAAAAATAACTAGATATGTGCTTCTATTTGTGGGGGCTACGTACGCACGAGGTGACGAGAGTCCGTGTGTAGCTACTAAAATGCTTAAGTCCGAATAGTCTAGGATCCATAAGCATGCTTACTTGCTGTACTTGTAAAATTATTATCAATTTAATATGCTTAAATCATATCGAACCTGGCAAATGAATTTCTAAAAAGTTAAACATCATTTTCTTGACCGTTAAAAGAGAAATTGTAATTTCCTTGGGTAGTTGTTTCCTAATGAAGTCTGGATTGACTATTTGAATGTGTGTATCTATGGGTACCTGCGTCGCACGTATGATTCGCGAGTGGGGTAATAAATGTATCTATGGTTCGCGTCATTCGATCCTCTGGCAGTGCACATTTTATTATTATGTTGGATCAGGCCGTATGACCTCGACATGAAATCATATGCTTATATTGCTTGCCTTGGCATTTATAAATAATGATATTGCGTCTCTGGCCTGAGATAAACTGATAAATGATGGAATATAAATCTTTGGAAATCTCTTATTATACAATCCATGCTTCATGCTTATTGAGTTTGAAATTACTTTATAAAATCCATGCTTTTGCACATTTTGATATTTATTTATTGGACCACTGGTGAGTGCCGAAGTTGATCTCTCGTCACTACTTCTTCGAGATTAGAGGGAATACTTACTGGGTACGCGTTGTTTACGTACTCATATTACACTTGTTGTGCATTTTTGTTGCACAAGCACATGTACGTCTAGTGGCCTCGTTGGGTGCAGCCGCATGGTTGACACGGAGACTTAGGTGAGCTGCATCTCTCGAGACGACCCGCAACCAGCAGAGTCTCTTTCAGAGTATTGTAATTCTTTTCTGTCCAATTGTATTCCGGACAGTTATCATATTGTACTTTATTTCCTAGAAATTGCTCATGCACTTGTGGCACCGGGTTCTGGGATGACTATGGGATTATTCAATATTTAAGTTTGTTAAAAACATTGTTATTTATTCAGTGGATTTTATTATTTACTGTGGAAATGTAAGGAAAAGAAATGATTTCAAAAAAAAAATATACGAAAAAGAGAACTTAAATAACTTCTTAGTGTTGGCTTGCCTGACAGTAGTGTTCGGCGCCATCACGACCCTTAATGAATTTTGGGTCGTGACATACAGGATTAAATACTTATATATCATCACTCCACAAATACTAAAAGGAAAAAAGTCAGCGATATTTTATATAAAATTAATTGCTGTATAATATGTAATCGATTCCTAATTAAATTGAGACTTATAGGATAGTTTCCTTTGCAAGCACGAATTCTTCAATCTCGTCCCTTCACAAAGTTTTTCCTTTTGCAAGCTCAAATTGTTCGATTGCGTTTCATTACAAATTTCTTATAAAGTTTGAATTGATTTCAAAATCTTAAGTATTATGAGGTAAGTTTCTTAATTTTATAATTTATCCAACATGAAGTTATTTATATAAAAAAATAATTTAGTTTTGAAGGGCATAAAAATCTATCAATATTGCACGAATATTTTGGTCCTTTAATATTTAGCATGAAATATTCGTGAATTTATAATAATATAGATATAGATATTTAAGATCCTTTAATTTTTTTTTTCCATTTTGTCTTCTAACCCCACCGTCTAACATCTTCTTCCTCTTTAATCTTCCTACTGAAATTCCTTTTATCAGTTTTCCTAAAACAATTAATATTGTTGCCGCCTTCTTCACCATCTTTAGTCTCCAAAAGATAGGTTAATTAAATGCATTTGTATTTGTGATGAACCGATATGTCATCTTATGATTTAAAACTAAATTTTGTGTTTCGAAGCCTTCAAAACCTTATTTTATTCCTTTTCGATTTGCGTGCGTAGTCCAGTCGTATTTCTGTAAAGCTTGTATGTTGAAAGTTGATAAAAATAGGGATTTTTGATTAAAAACTTTATTTGAGTTGACTTCGGTCAATATTTTTGGTAAACAGACTGGAATTCTTGTTTTGACAGTCCCGGTGGGTCCGTATCAAAATATGGGACGTGAGCATATGTCCGGAATCGAAATCGGAGGTCCGTAGTTCGAGTTGTGAATTTTTGATGAAAATTGTAAGTCTAAAAATTTAATGGTTTTTAAGAAATTATTAATGTTTAATTTTAGGAAACCCAAAACCAACATGAATAAGGAAAGAAGTTTCCTTAATCTTCGAGAACAACCCTCTTCTTGTTTCCTTTCTTGACTTGGAAACCAAATAATACTTGAATTCTAAAAATAATAATGAGCAATAACACTTTTTTAAGATGATTTTTGTTTTTTTTTTGTTGCTCAAGAACCTCCCAAGATTATCAAGATTGAAATCTTGATTAGTTTATGCTCTGATACCACTTGATAACATCGCGATAGGGGTCCAGGAACTACTAAAGAAAATCAAGAAACATGTGGAAGCTAAAAGAAAATAAAGAAATGAAAAAGGCGAAAATTAAAGATATATTGAATTCAAGAAAGTGTTTCTTGAATTCAAGAAGTCTATTCTTGAAGGTTAATCCGATCGACAACAATTAGCTAACGAAGAACTAATCGCCTTTGGTAGAGGTTAAAAACAAGAGATAGATTGTGAAACCTGACCCTTTAGAATAACAAAAACAACAATAAGCCTAAACTTATCATCTTTCTTGAATACCTAGAAATGATCTAAGATTTCGAAGAATTCATCTTACCACCTTAAGTTGAGTCTTGAAGGTTGAAGAATAAATCTAAGAGTAGCCACACACAAGAGTGCAAGAAAAATCTCACAATTTTTATTGATAATAGTCTGAATAATCTAAGTCTAAAAACAAAGAAGACACCTCTTTATATAGAGAGGGGGTCACGAAATTGTACCCAAAAAAATAAGGAAATAAAATCCTAAACTACTTTGGACAACAAGACCAACTACCTTAGGAAAAGGAAAAAACTAGGAGGCAAAAACCAAGTCATTCTTGGAAAATAATTCCAAAGATCTTAGTAAAAGGAAAATATAACCTTAACTAACTAGGAAAGAAATAAATATAGTCCCATAATATATGTAAATAAGTCCCAAACTAGTCTTGGATAGAATCTTGAAAATCTTGAAGGAAATTTGCAAGAAACTTGGCACCAACTTGCACTCAACATCTAGAACGAATATTGTACCATTCTTGGAAATCAAGTAAGTCATTTTTATGCTATAAAAACGTGGCTTTATGTAGGACTTCATGGGCTGCAAGTTTGGACACATTTTAGGTGCTAAATTGGTCCAACAGTGGTCTGATTTGGACCTTCTTCAGAGGATGTTTCTTGGGATCTAATCCATCTCTTATTGAACATGAATTTGGTCCATAAAATAATTATAACACCTGGATAACTCATATCATTTATCCTTAAGCTCTTCCTCCCAACTAACAACTTCTTTGATCGTTCCTGAAGTCCAATGACCTTGTTGTGTAATTTTTTTAGCTTCAGATCTTGTTAAAGGCCCTCTTTGAGATTCCAAAGCTTCATCCTTATTCTTGAATAAATTTGAACTTCCTAGGATGCTATCAACTATGGTCTGTGAAGAAAAGAGATGGTTTTTAATGAGAGAGCATAATTATGAAGAGAGAGATAGGAACCAGTTCTGAAACGACGGTTGTGCTTTGAGAGTTGCAACGTTTTAGAGGGAGATAGAACAATTTGAAGTGCAAGGACGTGACAGTAGGGTCTGAAAAGGTGGATGACATGGTAGTTGATATTTGTACCTTTTTAAGATATGTATTAAATAGTGCACAGAACTACTAATCTTTGGTACAAGAACCAAGTTCTTGATCTGTCATTGAAAATTTCAATCCTCTTTTATTACCCATGAAATGCATCTATAGCTTCTATAATCATCATGCGTGTTTACCTGCAACGGTATTGAAGTGAGTTAGACTTGGCCAGAAAACACTTTAGCTAATTTTACCTGAAGATGATTTTCATAGCCAACTGATTGGAAATCAAGTTCTCAATTAGGCTTCAATAGCCCCAGCTTCACCCTGTTTCTTTCAAAATGTTCCCTACTCAATGCTTTGGTGAAGATATCTGCAATTTGGTCTTCTGTGCTTCAGAACTTCATACAGATCAGCCCTTTCTCCACATTGTCCCTCGGAAAATGATGTCTCACATCAATGTGCTTGGTTCTTTTGTGTTAAACTGGATTCTTGGCCATGTTGAGTGTACTGGTGTTATCACATAGAAGAGGCACACAATCAGTAAATACCCCAAAATCCTCTAGTTGCTGCTTAATCCATAGGAGTTGAGCACAGTAGGATGCTGCAGCTATATATTCTGCTTCAGCTATTGAAAGAGCCACTGAGTTTTTGCTTCCTTGTGTCCCAAGAGATGAGACATGATCCTAGAAAGTGAGCCATTCGAGAAGTGCTTTTCCTGTCCACAAGATAACCTGCATAGTCAACATCAGCATACCCAATGAGATTAAGACTGCCACCTGAAGGGTAATATAGGACCAGGTCTTGTGTTCCCTTAAGGTATCTCAAAATTCTTTTGGCAACCTTTAAATGAGATCCCTTGGGATTTGATTGAAACCTTGCACATAGCCCTACACTGAAGACAATATTGGGTCTGCTGGCAGTGAGATAGAGAAAAGACCCAGTAATGCCTTTATACATAGTTTGATTCACAGGAGATCCAGTTTCATCCATGTCCAGTCGAGTAGCCGTTGTAATGAGAATGTCTATCACTTTTGATGCTTCCATATCAAACCTATTCAAGAGCTCCTTGATGTATTTCTTCTAACAAATGAATGTACCCTTTGTGGACTGCTTCACTTGAAGACCCAAGAAGAAATTCAGCTCCCCCATCATGCTCATTTCAAACTCACTTCCCATGAGTTTTGCAAACTCTTCACACAGAGAATCAGCGGTTGCCCCAAAAATGATATCATCAACATAGACCTGAACAATGAGCAGGTTCCTTCCCCGTTTCTTTAGAAACAACGTGTTGTCAATTTTCCCTCTTGGAAAACCATTTTCTAAGGGGAATTTTGACAACCTTTCATACCAAGCTCGAGGAGCCTACTTCAACCCATACAATGCTTTGTCCAGTTTAAACACATATTTAGGGTGTTCATGACATTCAAACCCTGGAGGTTGCTTCACATAGACTTCTTCCTTAAGAAGTCCATTCAGAAATGAACTTTTGGCATCCATTTGGAATAAGGTGAATTCCATATGAGATGCAAAAGTGATTAGGATTCTAATAGCTTACATGCAAGCAACCGAAGCAAACATTTCATCATAATCAATCCCTTTCTCCTGATTGTAGCCTTGAACCACTAGCTTGGCCTTGTTCCTTGTAAAGTTTCCATGTTCATCAAGCTTATTCCTAAATACCCACCTGGTTCCTATAATGGTTCGATCTGAGGGTCTAGGTACCAGGTGCCAGACATTGTTCCTTTCACACTGATGCAGCTCATCTTACATGGCTGTAATCCAATTTGCATCTTTCAGGGCTTCCTTGATATTTTTAGGTTCTATTTGGGAGAGAAAGGCTGAGAAGGCAAGTGAATTTCTGGCTTTTGATATGGTTTGTACTCCAAAATCTAGAGGAGTAATTATGTTGTCAAGAGGATGAGATATTTTGTGTTTCCAATTGGGCATTTGAGGTTCATTTTTAGAGGAGCTGGGTATATCTAACTGGTTCTCTTGTGTTCTTCTCTCAGGTACTAGTGGAGTACCCTGTACTACATCAACCACTCTTTCTTTAGCTTCAGTGGTTGTAATTGAGGTACCTGGTTCATCATATCTGCCTTTCCATTTGTCATGTCAATGACCACCAGTAACTAGTAAGGGCTCTCCATCTTGATCATCTTTAGCACTTTTCTCACAGAAAGGATAGGACTCATCAAAGATAACATGAACACTTTTCGCAACACATTGAGTCCATTTGTTGTATATCTTGTAAGCTTTGCTTTGATAAGAATACCCCAGAAATATTCTTTCATCACTTTTGGCATCAAATTTACCAAGCTGATCCTTTCCATTGTTAAGAACATAACATTTGCACCCGAATATTCTTAGGTGAGTCACCTTGGGTTTCCTTCCATTCAGCAACTCATAGGGGCTTTGTTCAGGAGAGATCTGATCATGCACCTGTTCACCAAGTAGCAGGCAGTGTTGGCAGCTTCAGCCTAGAAGTTCTTTGCAATCCCACTGTCGATCAACATTGTTCTTGCCATTTCTTCACTACTCCATTTTGATGGGGGGTTCTTGGAGCTGAGAAGTTGTGAGTAATGCCATTTTCATTGCAGAACTCATCAAATTTGGCATTTTCAAATTCTGTTTCATGATCTGATCTAATACATGCGACTCTAGACTCCATCTTCACCTGGATTTTCTTCACAAAAACCAGAAGCACCTCAAAGGTTTCATCTTTAGTTCTAAGAAATAGACTCCATGTGAATCTGGAGTAGTCATCCACTAGCACAAAAATGTATTTTTTTCCTTCCCTACTATGCACTCTCATAGGGCCACATAAATCCATATGCAGAAGATCGAGTGGCTTTGAGGTGCTTACATCATTTTTAGACTTAAAAGAGGACTTCACATGCTTTCCTCTAGCACAAACATCACATACTTTTTGTACTTTGAACTTTAACATGGGCAGGCCATGGAGCAGGTCCTTCTGAATTAGTTTGTTCAGAAGAGAGAAGCTTGCACGCCCCAATCTTTTATGCTAGAGTTCAACATCATCATCAACTTTCAGACAACTCAGATCACCACTTTCTATGGACTCGAAATCAGCAACATCGATGTTCTTGTATCTCTTGGCCACAAGTACCACTTCACCAGTTACCAGATTAGTAACTCTACATATCTTGGACAATAACTCCACCTTGTTTCCTTTATCATAGATCTGAGAGACACTCAAGAGACTGTACTTAAGACCATTGACATAGCACACATTCTCAGTAGAGTGAGTGAGTGATTTCCTGACTTTTCCAACTCTAAGAATGTACCCCTTTTTCCATTGTCAAAGGATATACTCCCCCTTGTAGGGATTTTAGGGAAAGAAAGTCCATGGTGTTCCCAGTCATATGCTTTGAACATCCACTATCCATGAATCATTGTTGACTGCTTCCTTTCACTGTTCCCTGCACAAGGAGATCAAGAGTTTGTTTTAGGAACCCAAGCAAGTTTGGGTCCCTTGTAGTAGGCAAGAGGATGAATAAGAGATCTCTTAGTCCATGCAGGTAATATGCATTTTTTGTGGGTGAAACCTGGTCCCTTTTTAGTAGTTACATTTTCAGCAAACGCTTTGTTTTTCTGAATGGACTGGACCCTGTCTTGGCAATTTTCCTTGAAATGCCCATTGTTCCCACAGTGGGTACACAACCAGTTATCTGGTACAGTAACATACTTGTTATGGGGGTTGTAAGGGGTTTTCGAACCCTATTTCCTGCCTGTTTCCACCATTATTAACGTACATGGAAGTGATAGCTTCTGAGGACCAGGTTCACTTTAGGGACTTTTCAAGATTATTTTTTACTTTTTTCCAGTTCAGTCTGGAGATGCTTGTTTTTCTCAGATTCAACACACAAACTAGTTCTCACAGCCTTCAACTCATTTTCAAGCCTAATGTGTTCCTCACTGGCTACCTCTTTTCCTTTTCTAGAATTTCCAGGTTTTGACTCAGTCCCTAGTCCCTCTATTGTTTCCTTTAGGTCTACAATCACTACCAAGAGATCATCTCTTTCTTCCTCAATCTCAGTCACTCTCTTCATTAAGGCTTCTCTTTCTTTTTGAAGTTTTCAATGGTTTCCTTATGGTCAACAACTACAACCACTAAGTCATCTCTTTCATGTTCTATGTTAGCAAATGTTTCGGTTAAAACAAAATTTTCTTTCTCCAGCTCACAAATGGTTTCCTTCAGATCAACTACACATACTACCTGAACATCTCTAGTTTGTTTAGCTTCTCCTAGCACTAAGGTCAAGGTATCCTTATCCCCCACAAGACTATGATAGGCATCAATTAATACACTAGCTAAAGACATGAGTTTCTTGGGAGAGTAGGATTTCAGATTTCTCTGAACATCTTTGAAATTTACCTCACTGTTGTCATCGTCTTCATCATCATCTGATTGGGCAATCAAAGCAAATATTGAATTATATTCATTTTCATCACTTTCAACTGCCATCATGGAGTTGTCATCTGCATCAGTTTCATCTTCAGACTCACTCGAGGAGTCTCCCCATGCTGCAAGAGCATGTTTCACAACATTGTCAGCAGATCTCTTCCTCTTGAAGTCCTTATAAGGAACTGGGTTCCTC